TCAGCAGCTGGGATTACAGGCACCCCCCACCACGCTCAGCTGATTTTTGTATTTTTAGTAGAGATGGGGTTTCACCATGTTGGTCAGGCTGGTCTTGAACTCCTGACCTCGTGATCCGCCCACCTCGGCCTCCCAAAGTGCTGGGACTACCGGCGTGAGCCATTTTATAGATTCTTACCATCTTGAGAAGGGCTCTGTGCTTAGCCTGACTCCCTGGTGTGAAATCGAAATGCTTTCCAGTGTTAAGCCAATCTCATACTCAACACCAGCCAAATTAACCACATATTAACAGAACTCATATTAACAGAAGTCATATTAATAGAAGTAGAATGCATGGGTTTGCTCTTGGCTTTTCCCTCCCAAAAGACTCTTAGGTGAAATTCTGCCTTTAGCCAGAATATGTACATAACTCTCGTGGAGATGGGAATGATGGCTTCACAGTGATCCCTCTGCCTCACTACTCTCAACCATCTCAAGACACTTCATTGACAGAACCAGTGTTTCTGTTTATAAGTGTATTCTAATCTTCAGAATGAGCTCTTAACACATACACACATATGCACACACGCACAAAGTTTGAGTCTGGCCAAGGGAATGTCCAGTTGGTGTGTTCGAGTTGTTTAGAATTGTGGGCAGCCCTGGAGGCCACATTGGATTTTCCACTTGAGATGTTCTGCTCTCTTCTTCTGGTTCCTGGTTCGCTGCAGAACTTAGAGCTGCGTAATGGCGGTGTGGGGGGAGAAGGTATATATCAATTGAGTAGTATTACTATCGTTAGGGTTGTGTGTTCAGGAATGCTGGAATGACCCAGATATTCCTCCTCTAGTGAGGTTCCCCCAAGGGGACATACCTCAAGGTGAGAGCAAATGAGAAGTAGGCACGCCACTTTCTTTTCAGCCACGGCCCTTTCCTGCCAGCGTAGGGAGACTCTGGTAGACATGCTGGAGCGTGTGACTTAGGCTAAAAGCCTGAGTGAAGCCACTGACTCTTTCTAGACCTAAATCTGACCAGTGGGATACTTTACAGTTCAAAAGATGACTATGTTGCCAAGCCCACCTTAAATAACATTAGCTCCATTTATGTAGTGTTTGAAGTGGATCAGGGGTTTTACATGTACAAACTCATTTAACCCTCACAATAGTCCTGTGAGTCAAACACTATTATTATCCTCATTTTTAAATGAGGAAACTGAGACACACACCAAGAATAAGATAGTTGTTATTCTCAACAAAGAGAGTTCCTGGATGGCATGGAGAGCTCCTGCCCACTGGTAAACATGGGCTAACACCCATTCTGACTTAATCAGAAGAAAACTAAGGTGGGGGTGGAGTCAGAGGGCAGGAGGGCAAACTTCTCCTCCCGCTCCACTTGCTGGAATGACCAAAGCAAAACCATGATCACAGCCCACGATGCTGATGTCCTCGTGCTGGTGGGCTGCCGTCATCCCCTCAGGGATGCAAGGATGAGCGTGGTCCCATTAGATCCCAAGAGGCAGCAGAGGCGGCTTCTGAAAACTAAAATAAGTGAGTAGGCACCCCTCTCCACTCACTCCCTTTCCCATGGCCCTGCTCTTCTCTCCTGGTTCCATCTGGCCCACTCAGCTTCTTGCCCAAGCCTCATTCTGAAGGCGCTGGCTCTCTCCATCAGGGTGAGGTCACCAGGCGTTGGGGTTACATGCATCTGCTTCAGGCCTGTCACTCACTAGTCCCTAGTGACCTTGGCAAGGTTAACCTCTGAGGGTCTCCATTTCCTCATCCTTAAAGTGGGAATAATCGTACTTCCCAGCAAGGGTGCCAGAGGGCTTAAGGGATGGCTGTTTGTAAAGCCCTCAGCACAGTGAAGCTTAGCCAGCTGCTGAAATGTTGCTGATGGCGCCTCAGCAGCCCTTCCAAGGGCACTTGTGTTCTAAGTAAGGTCCCCTGAAAACCAAAGGCCGTGGAGAATCCAGTGATGCTGGTGGCAGAGCCCTAGGATGCCAACGGGGTGATGCTGGGGGCAGGCCAATGTTCCGAAGTCTCTGATTCATTCAGCCGCCTCTGCTCGCCTGCCTACTTGCTGTTGAAGACTAACCACAGTCCGGTGATAACAGAGCAGAGCTGGGAGCCAGACAGCTACTCCAGGGGACTTTCTAATGATATATAGCAAAGCATTTTGAAAAAAAAAAATTAAATGGTATCTCATTCAAACATTTCAAAAAATTGAGGTATTAAAAACAAATGGTTCAGGTCACTTCCAAATAGAATAACTGATCGATAGCTTTTTTATATAGGAGGAGAGTGCTGATTCCAGGAGAGAGTTTAGGCCAAACCCCCTAGTTTTGGCACAGGAAAATGGCTTGGCAGAGTAGCTTATCAAACTAGGATGTTGTGAAGACTCAGCGAGGGATCTCGTTAAGATGCAGACTCTAGGCTGGGCACGGTGGCTTATACCTGTAATCGCAGTACTTTGGGAGGCTGAGGTGGGCGGATCACTTGAGGTCAGGAGTTCTTGACCAGCCTGGCCATCATGGTGAAACCCTGTCTCTACTAAAAATACAAAAATTCACCCGGTGTGGTGGCGCACACCTGTAATCCCAGCTACTTGGGAGGCTAAGACAGGAGGATTGCTTGAACTGGGGAGGCAGAGGTTGCAGTGATCACATCACTGCACTCCAGCCTGCGCTACAGAGACAACTCTGTCGCAAAAAAAAAAAAAAAAAGCAGATTCTGCTTCAGCAGGTCGCATGTTATGCCTGAGAGTCTGCATTTCTAACAAGCTTCCAAGACATGGTGCTGGTCCAGGGGCCACACTTTCCACATCAGTGTGGAAGAAAAAGCTACCTCTCTGCCCCTTTGGTGCTTATTTTGGTCTAAAAGGTCATTTGTTGCCGGCTCCTGCTCAGTGACACATAATCTCTCTTTGTACCTGTGTCCCTGAATTATCTTTCCTGTCCCCACGAGTGGCCTGAAAATGACCCCACAATTGGAAAAATCGCCTGGCTGCCTCATGCAACCCTAACCTGAAGTTCTTTCAGGGAGAACATTAAGCCGCCTCCCAAGCTCGCCCTCTGCTGGTGAACAATGGTCATTTTTTTCCCTAAACCCTCACCCAGCCTTTCTTGCTGCACAAATGCTCTTCTTTTTTTTCCTTCCAATTAATACAGACAGAAGAGTCGCATGACCTATTCCAGAAGTTTATTGCACTGTTGTAGATTTTGGAGAGTGTTTCCACTCTGTTCCTTAAAGTACACCCCTCAGAGGAGGTAGATATATGTTTGACCAACACTGTCTGGCAACTCACGATGTTGTGAGTTCTCCATGTTGCCTAAACATCCTCTTCTTGACTGAACTTTGCTCTCATCCCACCCCACACACTTTCTACAGGGGTGGCAAGCCTTCATTTACTCACAGCTCGAATGTGGCAAGGTCACGGGGAGTAATGGTTTCCTTTGATCCAGGGTTGGAGGAGGATGCAAAGTAAGCATGTTCCAGAGACAAAAGAACATTTAAGAGAAGGATATGGAGATGGAAGACTCATACCACAGATCATACCACCATCACTCATTCATTAAAACATTTCTTCATCACCTACTGTGTGCAAGACTTGGGACTAGGAGCGGAGAATTCTTAATCCCTGCACACGGGGAACCTAAGCCTCATAGAGGAAATAAACGTAATAGTGAATCGTTAGTGTCTGCCGTATGCCAAGGAGCATACGTACATTACCTTATTTAATTTTATTTCATCCTCAGCAATCCTATGATCGTCCTCATTGTATGAATGAGAAAACTCAGATGCAGAGAAGTTGAGTGAGACTTCTAGTTAATGAGGAAGTCAGTTAACAATATGTAAGCCTGGCCCAGTGGCATGTGTGTGTAGCGCCAGCTACTCCGGAGGCTGAGGCAAGAGGATCACTTGAGTCCAGGAGTTCAAGACTGTATAGTGCACTATAATTATGCCTGTGAATAGCCATTGCCCTCCAGCCTGGGCATCAGAGCAAAAACCCCATCTCTTACAAAATAAAATAAAATACAAACTTTAAACAACAATTTGTTATTATCTCTCATGGTTCTGGAGGTTATGGGGCTCAGCGGGCTGGTTCTCACTTGGGGTTCCTTATGTAATTGCACTCAGAAAGTGGCCGGGGCTGAGATCCATGTCTGCAGCCAGGGCTGGGATGTCTAAAACAGTTGGGGGCTGGTGGGCATCTGCATCCACATGGCCTCTCCACATGGCTGGCTTGGCCTTCCTCTCAGACTGGCAGTCTCAGGATAGTTGGATGTCTTAGGTGGCAGCGGACTCCCCGCTGCAGCGAGTGTTCCACAAAATCAGACAGAAACTGCAGAATTTCTTGTGACCTGGACTCTAAAAGCAGGGACATTGTTTCCGCTATAGTCTGTTGATCAAAACGGTTACAGGTCAGATTCAAGGTGTTTCTGTGTCTCAGTGGGAGAGTAGCTTACGAATAAAGCGAGATAACGAATTGATGGAGCCCATCCTGGAGACAAGCCATGACACCAGGGTTTGACCCTAAGCAGCCTGACTCCAGCCTCTGTGTGCTCAAGCATTATGCCCCACTCCCCTGACGCAGTACGGGCACAGCCACAGAATGCCACCTGTGGCTGTTATAAGATATCGTGGTGGCTTCTAGGAGAAGTGATTAGCTCTGCCTCTGGTGGTCAGCAAAGGCTTCACATTAGAGGAAACACCCCCTCACACATACATACTCCTTTCTTCTCAGTGCAGAAGACAGACAGTGGCTGCAGTGGGTGGCACACGTGCCCCTGCATCACGTGAGGTCGCCTAAAAGCTGAGGGCGAGAGGCAGCTCTGAGGCAGCGTGTGGAAGGGAACTGACAGAAGAGGGAGCTATGGAGTCCAGTCCCAATTGCACCACAGTGTAATGCTGGGACCTTGAGGGGAACCAGAAGGCCAAGAAAGGAAAAAGCAGAGGCCCTGGGCCTTTGCAGAACATCAGCAGGGTGAGGTTTCTGACTGTGTTGTGCTCCACTCCCTTCTCCAGATTGGAGACCCACACTTGGTGATCTGTATGGACTGCTCGGCGGACACCATGACCAACCGCCTTCTCCAAAGGAGCCAGAGCAGCCCGCCTGCGGACGACACCACCAAGACCATCGCTAAGCGCCTGGAAGCCTACTACCGAGCGTCCATCCCCGTGATCGCCTACTACGAGACGAAAACACAGCTACACAAGGCGAGTCGCTTCACTTTCCCCTCTGAAATAAGTCACTTACCTTTTCTTTTTTTTTTTTTTTTAATGAAAAGAGAAAAAGCTGAGAACATTTTAGTTAAGCGATCTGGGAATTAGAACTCTGCGCAGCTGCAGCACTGGGGCCTAAAGGCCTAGCACAGTGGCTCTTGCCTGTAATCCCAACACTGTGGGAGGTCAAGGCGGGTGTATTGCTTGAGCCCAGGAGTTCAAGACCAGCCTAAGCAACATAGTGAGACCCCCGCCTCTACAAAAAATCAGCTGGGTGTGGTGGCACATGCCTGTCATCCCAGCTACTCAAGAGGCTGAGGTGGGAGGATTGCTTGAGCCCCAGAGGTGGAGGCTGTAGTGAGCTGAGATTGTGCCACTACACTCCAGCCTGGGCAACAGAGCAAGACCCTGTCTCAAAGAAAACAACAACAACAAGAATTTGGACCAAAATATGAATCCCTTACTCTTCACTTTTGTTTCAATCAAAATTAAATATCTGTCATCATATAGACCATAAAAAGGTGGTCATATAATTTTCACAGATGACCTTATAGTTGCTGAAAACAACCCCTTTTTCCCAAAAAAAGAGAGAGAGGGAGAGAGGAAGGAGAGAAGGGAGGGAGGGAGGGAGGGAGGTATGAATGAGATGTAAGCTCTGCCACTGACTCTGGACTGTGAGATGATTCACTAGAGCTAAGATTCAATGACTTTGAATTTCTATAATTTTACATCATTCACAATTGGCTGTTGGCTCCTTTGCCTCAATTTCTTGTGATAACCAACATTTTTAGAAGAGGGTGCATATGGGGCCAGGAGAGCAGGTAATTAAGTAAAACAATGAAGATAGTGTGAGGAAACGAGTGTATCAACCTACTGATCATGAGCTCTGTGCTGATTCACCATCAATTTCATGAATTTGGGAAAACTGCCCAGTTCTCATCCTTCCACTCATCCCATAACTATGTATCAGGCACCCATAGTCCATCAATTGCACTAGTGGTTTGGATGCAAATAAATAAGATTATTGAATCCTTGCATAGCTTAGGGTTTCACTAGGAGAGAGAGACAAACGTGTGATCACACAATGAGATCAAAGCAAGCACAGAGTGTGTGGCAAGGGCCCTTTCCTCCAGTGTAAGGATCCAGGAAGGTGACCTGAGGAGGACTCGGCTGAGTCTCTGAAATGGGGGTGCACACCACACCAGAGAAGCCCCAAGTGGAGAAGATGAGGAAAACCAAGTAACTCCATGAGGCTGTGACATAAAGTGCCAAGGAAAAGAGGGATGAGAGATGGAGATGGAGAGGCAAGCAAGGACTAGATGAAGGTGGATCATATGTGGGAGCAAATAATTGTCCTGTGAGTGATCGGAACTACCGAAGGGGCAGGAATAATCAGGATTTCCATCTAGAAAGCTCAATCCATCATCCTTATGGAGAATGGATGCAAGAAGGTAAGGCTAGGAGACCACTGAGAGGCTAGAACAGTATCCAGGAACAAATCCGTAAGGACGACAGAGTGAGCTTTTGTCCAGGAACCAAATCTTGAGGACTCGAACCACAGAAGGGAGTGTGGGATCTCTTGCTGTTCACAGGATAGGAGACGTCGTCAATAAATAACAAACTTGTCTCTGAGGAAGATACATTACTGATTCCTTCGGGGGAAACCATTGATAATTCTTATCTTCTAACTCTGTTAATGGTCCGCTTTCCAGAATCCTGAGAAACACTGGGTACAGAAGTCTGAAAGATGCCTCTCCATTTAACTCAGAGTGTAAAATATGTGGCATGAGAGCCATCATCCCCCACTTCCGCATCCATGGCAGCCATTGCTAGTTTATCCCAGCACTGTTTCTCAGTAAACAGATGTGGCCTGAGAATGTTTGTCAACACAGCACTCCAGGCAGCTACTGCCTATTAATAGGACTTGATGTGCACGTGAGACTTATTTGTTGTGCTTTGTATTACCTCTGACTGCCACATTTTTAAAATAAAGACTTCGATCTTTAAAAACAGGGCCAAGTGCAGTGGCTCACACCTGTTATTCCAGTGCTTTGGGAGGCCAAGACAGGAGGATTACTGGAGTCCAGGAGTTTCAAGACCAGCCTAGGCAACATTTCAAGACCGTCTCTCCAAAAAATGCAAAAATTAGCTGGACGTGGTGGTATATCTCTGTGGTCTCAGCTACTTGGGAGACTGAAATGGGAGGATCACTTGAGCCTGGGAGGTCAAGGCTGCAGTTTGCCATGATCGCACTACTGTACTCCAGCCTGGGCAACAGAGCAAGACTCTCTCTCAGACAAAGAAAAAACATAAACAAAAAGTGCATTATATAAGAGCAATGTCTTAAGAATTCAGGGCTGCAAAGGCCTTTCCAAAATTAGATTGTCTAGTGATTTCTGCCTTTTGAGCAGCCTGGAACATGCACAGAAGTTACCCAGGTAGAAAGATTTCTTCCATCTGGGCACGGTGGCTCACGCCTGTAATCCCAGCAGTTTGGGAGGCCAAGGCAGGCTGATCACTTGAGGCCAGGAGTCAAGACTAGCTTGGCCAGTATGGTGAAACCCCATCTCTACTAAAAATACAAAAATTAGCCAGGCACTGTGGTGCATGCCTGTAATCTCAGCTACTTGGGAGGCTGAGGCAGGAGAATCACTTGAATCCAGGAGGCGGAGGTTGCAGTGAGCTGAGATGGCGCCACTGCACTCCAGCCTGGGTGACAGAGTAAGACTCCATCTAAAAAGAAAAAAAAAAAATTCCTGGTGTGGTGGCGCTTGCCTATAATCCCAGCTACTCAGGATGCTAAGGCAGAAGAATCACTTGAACCCAGGAGAAAGAGGCTGCAGTGAGCCGAAATCGCACCACTGCACTCCATCCTGGGTGACAGAGAGCATCCCTGTCTCAAAAAATAAAAAAAAAAAAAAAGAAAGAAAGCTATTTCTTCCACTATAAAGATTTGTAAAGGTGGGAAAATTCCTAATTCAGGATTTAACCACTTTTAGAGTTGGAAAATCCCTCTTAGCTCTCTGTTGTATTATTCCAACCCGAATTCTACAAACTCACAAATGACTGCTCATAAGTGCAGGGTTGAGTTCTCAGACAAATCTGATTTCTGCAATCTTCCTTAGAGCTTTCTAAGTTAATGGTGTCCAAAAGACCAGATTGCAACACATTTAAAGATCTTTATTGGCTTTTATTCATGATTCTAGAATTGGGCAGACCTCAGGACCAGAAAAATGTTTGAAGAATAAGCCACATGGTCAAGCAATATTTATGTTTAGAAAACAGAAGCGAGGAACAGAGGTTAATTAGTTACAGCCTTACGTGAATCAGCTGGCCACCTACCACTGACTTAAGCTCAGCTGCTGTAACTACCAAAACTCAGCCATCTGTTACAGTGTGTACACCAAAGTTGTTTGTTTCATTTAGCATGGATGACTCCATGTTGGTTGGTTTGGTCTGTTGGGCCCAGAACAGGAGCCTAGTCCAAACCAGTGGCCTCCTACAAATTGTATTTAATGGTGGAAAAGAGGTTTGCAGTCCCCTTTGGCTCATCTCTTCAACTTCCCCTGCATTTTGGAGATGCTGGCAGCTGGGTACGTGGTGAGGTAACATTATGATCCACTGCACAAATATGTAAAACCTCTCCAGCCCGGACTGCAGAGCAACATGAGCTCCTGCCTTCAGGACTCCAAGAGCCTCAGGGAGGCTGCTTCGTCCCACTGCCTCTGCCCAGGGCCATCCCCTACCCACACAGCTGCAAAGATGAACAGTCCCCCCTACACACCCAGCATAGAGACAGTGTGTGCTGGGCCCGGGAAGCAGAGATTTGTCTGCAGGTGCCCGTAGGGTTTGCCAGCAGCTAGGACGACAGAGGGGGACTGCAGGAGAAGCAGGGGAGGGGATGGGATTGTTTGCCTCTGGAGAGGGAGAAAGCCGCTGGCCCGTTCTTTGTCTGGCCTCTGGGTTTTTGCCCAGTCCTCTTGCATCAGCTTAATATCCCTTGGTTTCTAAGTAACAGCTTGTGGCCTGCTCCTGTGATGCTGTTTGGACTGTTTGCCCCTCCTCCCTGTTGTTTCACTGGATCCAGGACAGGGCTGCTCACCCAGGAGGACCTCTGGGTCTCTTAAGGAGCTTTCTTAAAACTGGGTGGGGCTGGTGAATGCACTTCAAGAAAGCAAGTGAGACGAATCAGCAGTTCTGTGAGATTTATTTAGGAATGAAAGCCACGGGGTGGGCCAACTCATGCAGCCCACACATAGGCCAGAAGCACCCCCCTCAGGCCTCTACCCAGCAATGCTGACACTGAACCCATCAGCTGACACCCGCGTCCCCCGCCCCATGACAGTCAGCCCTGTGGCCACCAGCTCGCTAAAGAAAGTGCAAGAAAGTTTCGAACAAAGAGAATTTTTAAAGCAAAGCAGAATGTATACAGCTACTCCCTTATTCTTTATGTCATCATAATGCCATCCTTGTAAAATAAAGTTAGAATTTCTTATAACATGCCCACCGGAGATGGAAGTATACGTGATACAGGTGTACCCCTTTCTGCCTGCTTTCCTCCCTCTCAGAAAGCAGAGCTTCACCCTGCATCCAAGAAAGAATTCGCTCCATTCCATCCCCCACCTCCCTGCACTGGGGCCAGGCAGCGTTCACCGGTCATGGCACTTCCTACCAAGTCTGAACGCTGCCTCACAAACTAACTCAACACAGCAGGATGGACCGTCACCCCCGACTGACTAGAGTTAGCCTATAAGAAGAAGTTTTCTTTCACCTTAGCAAGATAATTTATTATGGCATAAATGACTGAAATGTAGCATTTGGGGATGAAAAGCACAGTTACTAGCCAAAGACCCCCTGCGGGGTGGGGGGCGGAATATGGGCCTGTGCATCAGAAAGCCCCAGGCACACTTTCGTCAACTTTGGTGAGTCGTTTCACTGCTTCACCTCTCAGTTCTTCTTCCTAAAGTGGATAGAACACGATCTACTAGAATTTA